ATAGTGCCTCCATGTAACACAGGGTATAGTCTTAAAATAGTGCCTCCATGTAACACAGGGTAGTCTTAAAATAGTGCCTCCATGTAACACAGGGTACAGTCTTAAAACAGTTTTTAAAAGCCAAAAGAGGCAGAAGGCCACAAAAAACAAGGTCAGCATTCCACAGAATACTGACTATACCCACTTTGAAAAAAAAGAATTGATTGAATTAGTAATTAAGTTAAACTATCAAAGAACAGATTACAACCACATTTAGAATGTCTTCGATATCAACATAATGTTTATTTATAATGGACACTCACAGTTCACTTTTTTTTTTCTACAGAAAAAGTTAACAACATGATACAAGTTTACACTTTCCTCTGCCAACTGTAACAATAACAGATACAACATCTACTTAAGGCATGACATATATTCGTGATAATACAGTACAGACCAACATTATTTTCATGAAAGCAAATGCAGATCCATAGCCAAAACAACTGAATAGCTGTCTATAACAAAAAACAAATCTTTGTGATATCCTGTGAAGTCAGATCTCACCCTACACTTTCCTTACCTACATATATAACTCAATCACCTACATATAACCAACACCAGAGGTCAGAGGTTACATTTCTTTAACCTGGAAAGTTTGCCATTCCAGTCATTTAATTCCTCTCAATGTACCCTGTAAGCTCAACATTATATGTTCTTATAATTCTAAGTCAGTTGCTTACTGTTACTGTAAACTGTAACTACAACACTGTAATCACATCTTAACTAGAAATTCTGAACAGTTAGTTCCTTACTGTTTCTAAACTGTAGCTACAACACTACAATTACACCCTAACTAGAAATTCTGAACACTCCGTTGTTTACTGTTTCTAAACTGTAACTACAACACTACAATTACACCCTAACTAAAAATTCTGAACAGTTTGTTGCTTACTGTTTCTAAACTGTAACTACAACACTACAATTACACCCTAACTAGAAATTCTGAACACTCCGTTGTTTACTGTTTCTAAACTGTAACTACAACACTACAATTACACCCTAACTAAAAATTCTGAACAGTCCATTGCTTACTGTTTCTAAACTGTAACTACAACACTACAATTACACCCTAACTAGAAATTCTGAACACTCCGTTGCTTACTGTTTCTAAACCGTAATTACAACACTACAATTACACCCTAACTAGAAATTTTGAACACTCCGTTGTTTACTGTTTCTAAACTGTAACTACAACACTACAATTACACCCTAACTAGAAATTCTGAACTGTCCATTGCCTACTGTCACTGTAAATTGTAACAACTAATCATACCTTAACCAGAAAGTCTGGACAGTCAGTTCCTTACTGTCACTGTGAACTGTAACACTACTTGAAAGTCTAAAAAGTTAGTTCCTTACTGTCACTGTGAACTGTAACCGCAACACTAATTACACCTTAACCAGAAAGTATGGACAGTCAGTTCCTTACTGTCACTGTGAACTGTAACACTACTAGAAAGTCTAAAAAGTTAATTCCTTACTGTCATTGTAAACTGTAACTACAACACTAATTACACCTTAACCAGAAAGTCTGGACAGTTCCTTACTGTCACTGTGAACTGTAACACTACTAGAAAGTCTAAAAAGTTAGTTCCTTACTGTCATTGTAAACTGTAACCACAACACAAATTACACCTTAACCAGAAAGTATGGACAGTCAGTTCCTTACTGTTACTGTGAACTGTAACTACAACACTAATCATATCCCAACTAGAAAATCTGAACAGTCATTTCTTACTGTCACTGTAAATTGTAACTACAACACTGTAATCACACCCTAACTAGAAAGTTCGAACAGTCCATTGCTTACTGTTGTTGTAAACTGTAACTACAACACTAATCATATCACAACTAGAAAATCTGAACAGTCCATTTCTTACTGTCACTGTAAATTATAACTACAATACTGTAATCACACCCTAACTAGAAAATAACAATCAGCTGCTTACTGTCACTGTAAACTGTAACTTCCACACTATATTCACAATCTAACTAGAAAATCTGAATAACCAGTTTTATTGTCAGTATAAAATATACCTACAACACTATATTCACAACCTAACTTGAAAGTTTGACAGTCAGTTGCTTACTGTCATTTTAAATTGTAACTACAACACTATACTTACACCCTAACAGTCAGTTACTTACCATCACTGTAAACTGTAACTACAACACGATAATCCCAACCTAACTAGAAAGTCAGCTGTTTACTGTCACTGTAAACTATAACTACAATACTGTATTCACACCATAACCCAAACTTCTGACAGTCAATTGCTTACTCGCACTGTAACTTGTAATTACAACACCACATTCATGACCTGACCTGAAAGTCTTAAGTCAGTCCTTTACTGTCATTGTAAACTGTAACTACAGCACTATATTCACACACTAACTGTCTTGATAGTTAGTTGCTTATCGTCAAAGTTAACTGTAATTTTACCACACCATATGGTCAAACCATAATTTGAAAAAAATTAAGAGTCATCACCAACGATGGTCAGTCCTTTTCTTCACAAATTGCTAACTAATCTCCAAATCATTCACTTTTCATATCTCTATCACTCAATTTATAAATCTATCTTTATCATAGCCACAAACATCACTAGAACAGTTATTACACCCTTACCTGAAACGTGTATGCTAAAAGCTGGCTTTCAAACAGAATAATATGAAATACATTTTTGATAAATATACATTAATACTGAAGAATCTTTATTATGGTCCAGAACTAACAACACAAAACAACTACTTCTATACAGGATACCAAAACACAGAAATATCACCTTCAAAAGCTGTTTGAACATTACCAAACATGGCACAATGAACATAATTTCTATCCTACCTATTAAACTTTCACCAGAAAGGTTTGTTTCTCAGCAAAACTTAATTTAGACATTTTCAAAATCCATAATAATAATAAGCACAATTATCCAAATCCACCTTTATTGGTGATATTAAAATTAGTATTGTAAACGTTGAAAATAAAGGATACAAAACAAGTTAGAGTATTGTCACTTATTTTTCCAGTGTAAAATACTGGAGATAATAACCACATTTATTTGTAGCTCAAAAAGTATATCAAAAAAATAAATTTTTCTATAAAAGACAGTATCTTTATTACAATTTTTTTCGTATATTTAAGCTAAAATGCAATAAATAAAATTTTCAAAGAATTCTCTAAAAAATATTTAAATTAAATATGCAGAACTGATGAGAAATATGTATGAACCAAAAAGAAATGAGAATTTTCACTACACTTTGTTACCCAATAAGTACATTTTTCTATGAGCTAAATGTAATGGTAATAATTACTCCTATCAGTTGATTCTTGTGGATATTTTAGATAAATACTTTTTAAAACTTCATAAAAGTTTAAGAAAATGTTAGTCATGGGGGGAAATATCCATCTTTTTTTTCCCAATCAGCTAATCTAACCTGTCATCTATTAGTATTATTTATTTTAGCAAGTACTGCAGAAATGCTGAATGAGATCACAAACCTGGCTGACTAATACTGAACATTACTCACTGTTGCTGTCTGTTCTAAAATTAGCTCTTGTTTCTTTATAAGGTAAACTGTTGAACTACTGAAATAGCATTGGCTTACTAATCCAGAATGATGAGAATTTTTAAAATGTTGTACCTTTTTTAATTTATTGAAGTCTCCTGAAAATATGTACATGCGAGTTAATTGAAGAAATTTATCTATTGTAACTTTAAATGTAATTGTTTTTAAAAACAGGCTTATAAGTTCAGCCCTTAGATAAGAGGTTTAATACATTTCTATGCTAGACATACATATATCTACAAGTTTTACAGCAGTTCCCTCTGTTTTTTAACACTACCTTTTTCCCACAAGTGATTATCTCCTTTTAAAATCTAATATTAAATACATGTAATTTCATAAATATAGTTGTGGTAATTAAACACAATGGAAGTTGGCTTTGCCCTTGGCAATACTGGAGTTTAATAGAGAATGAAATGTTATTCAGTATTAGGATTTTAACTTTCTTTAGTCCATACATATATAATATTGTGATGTACTTTCCCTCCATGACTATTTTAAACTTTCAAAAAAATGTAAATAATTTTATACATCTTATTCTTGCAGTATTTTTATGTATTTCAGAAACATTTTAGTTAAGAAAAAGAATACTTTTTTTTTTCTCTAATACAAGATAATATGGTTGTTTTAAGCTAAAGCATTTTTTAACTCAAAGAAATCTAACTGCTAACAGTATGTGGCATACTAGTAGTTCAGCATCATCCTAGTCCTCCCGTTCCATCTTCAGGTTGGACACAAAACTAGAAGATGAAACAAGTTCACAGTCAATTAGAAGTAGGTTGTATGATGATGTCAAAAATATTCCACAAACTACATTTTAAAACTGGTCCATTAACCAGAGTCTATGTCTCATACAACAACACGATGAAGAACTTTTCATTTAAATAAGGAGTTAATTAACAAATGGCACAAATACTAAAGTAAAAATGCATAAAACAGCTGACAAGTAGTCCTACACAAGAGAGCTAGCCTAACCCTTAAGCTTTACTATTATTAATCACCATCACTCCTGAATTCAAATACTTAGTTAGCCAAACTGTTCACCACAGCATCAGTTTTATGTACTTAGTTAGCCAAACTGTTCACCTACAGCACCAGTTTTATGTACTTAGTTAGCCAAACTGTTCACTACAGCATCAGTTTTATGTACTTAGTTAGCCAAACTGTTCACTACAGCATCAGTTTTATGTACTTAGTTAGCCAAACTGTTCACCACAGCATCAGTTTTATGTACTTAGTTAGCCAAATTGTTCACCACACCATCAGTTTTATGTATTTAGTTAGCCAAACTGTTCACCACAGCATCAGTTTTATGTACTTAGTTAGCTACACCAAACTGTTCACCACAGCATCAGTTTTATGTGACACTTCAAACTTTCCAAAATCCCTTTTCATTGTGTTTTACATTTCTTGATAAAACTTATTCCATTTGCAAGTTTAGATATCAGGAGCAGCTCATAACTTAGACAAAATTTGTAATGCAAATATTTAGTTGATGTGAATTTATCAACTCTGTTTTTACAAATAATTTCTTCATACATTAGAGTAAGGATAAAAGTCTCACCTTTGAGGATGTAGTCTGTCAGAAGAATTGGAACAGTTGGACTGTCATCATTGATAGCATGCAAAACTAAATAAAATGTTACATAAGAAACATTTCTTTAGGTTCTTTCAAGTAATTATGACATTTCTTTGTAACTTTTTTCTGATATTCTTACTTCTAGATTGTTTTGTTTAGAATCATCCCATCCTCATTTCAGTTTTTCACACCAACTAAAAACTACAAAAACTATCACTGCCAGTTCTTCACA